CAGAGTGACACTCCAACTCAAAAAAAAAAAAAAAAAAGAACAAGTTCTAGTATTCAATAGCAAAGTAGCATGACTATAATTAATAATAATTTATTGTATATTTCAAAAAAACTGGAAGATAGGATTTGGTATATTCCCAATACAAGGAAATGATAAATGTTTGCAGACATGGATATTCTAAATACTCTGACTTGATCATTAAGTATTATATGCATGTATCAAAATATCACATGTAATCAATAAATACTTACAATTATTATGCATCAATAAAAACTTTTTTCAATGATAAAATATACAATTTTACCCAAAAAGCATATACTTGGAAGAAGTAAGGAAGAATTTTGTACAAATACATGATAATGCTCTTTTACCACTTGGTTTAAGCTAATGCCAATATATCAACTGTCTTATATAAACTAAATGTGGAGTACAAAATAGAACAAGGCTTTGGAATAAGATAAATTTGTGAATACCAACCTTATGACTGAGGCCTTAGGCAAAGTTATTAAATCTCCTAAGTATCAGTCTTCTCATTTAGATAACACCTAAGCTTGTAAGGATTAAATATTATTAAATAAGTGAAGAGCCTAATTTAATTTTCTGACTTACTATAGGTGCCTTATAATCCATTGGTGCTATTACTGATGACTGCTGAAATTTGGCCACTAATTAACTGTGCATCCAATGTAGAGTCACTTAGACTGTCTGTGCTCCAGGAACTTTTTTAAAATAAATATATTAAAAATATTTTTACATGCTTTCTTTGAGAATTAACATAAAATAATGTGTGAGATATTATTGTGAAAAAGAGTTATACAACTGTGCTATTGCTAGATTTTATTAAAATTAAGGTAACAATCTATACATATCACTAGAGCTTTATAAGAAATTGGATATTATATATGAAAACATTTTAAATGTTATAAAGTACCATACAAACCCAAAGGTTTATTAATACAGATTCAAAACCCAGGTCTGCCACAAACTACCTATCTGACCATGGGTAATTAACCTTTTTATAACATAATAATGGGAAGAGGACCTTTCCTACAAAGATATTGTGGGAATCAAATGAATTAATATATGCAAAGTGATCTCTAGCATATAGTAAGTACAATAAAAATATTTGTATCATTAATACTAGGCTCTGTGCAACCTATGCAAAACATCTTGCCATAGCATACAATAGTTGGCCACATGAACAATAAGCCCAGAATATTCTCATATTGTTGTGATGTGTGTGTGTGTTTGTATCCATCTAGATGGATAATCCAATATACAGTTATATATGAATGTGTGTGTGCATATATATATGGATATGTGTGCACATATGTATATATTCCTTTTAGAACTAATTTATAATATAATTGTATGTATGTATGTATATGTGTATATATATTTATATGTTTGAGTTTGAGCTATTTTTAGAATTTAAGAGTTAACTCTTAGAAGGTGCTTAGGAGTAACCATAAAAATGACATGTTTTCAAAAAGTAATGTCTTATTCTAACTTTTAACCTTTGACTGTTCTTCAGTAATGAATAGGTCACACCCATCATAAGCTATTTTCACAAACAGAAAAACTGTAAAATACTAACAACACCTACAGTAGCTATTGTCTGATATGCTATTTATGGAATATTGATAAATCACTGTAGCTATCCAATCACATACTTACAACATTTTACAGTTTAGAAAACATTTTCCTATTTTATTCTTATTTCACCCCATGAAATAAGATAATAGACATAATTATTCCCACTTAAAGATTAGAAAAGTATAACTAAGAAAAGTCATGTAATTTCTCCAAAGTCACCCAAATGTTATATATTTGGACTTCTTATGCTTTTGAGTAGTTTTTTCACAGCATCAAACTATTCTAAAAGCAAAACCAAAAATGTTGTCTAAAACAAAGGCTACTTACTTTGGCCTGCTGACATATTTTTAAAGACCCTTACTAAGAGCTTTCATAAAATACACAGCCTAAGAAAAATTATTTTGCTAATGTATATTACAGATTAGATTTTTATCCTTGATTATCTTTAGGGTACATCTCCCGCCATACTAGTCTTATATTTAAAATTGCAATGTTTATATTTTGTAGTGAACTTGGCCCACTGATAGTTGATTTGTGCTATAAGTAAATACAGGATTTTTGCATTCTAAATATTTAAAACAAAATAAATATAATCAATAATAAATCCTTTTTTTAAAAAAACTTACACAGCTTCTGGATTCATTATACAGATGGTTTCTGAACATTGACATTTCATTGGGTCATCATATGATATTCCCAGACTGAGTCCCAGCATTTGGGTGACAACAACTGAAAATGCTTCCAAAGTTATCTCCTTGGGAAACTACAATAACAACAAAGAAAATTCAAAGAAAAGACAATACACTGAAGGATGGTATTAATTTAAAAAACAATTCTAATTATAAACATTTTATTGTTCTATTGAATACTTAAGAATAAAGGGAGATGGTTCTTTGAAAAAGTGCAAAGCTGAAACTCTTATGAAATTTTACTGAGAAACAAGAATACTGAGTCTATACCAAACTTTGCCATAAAATAATGACTGAATACCTAACATAATTCTTAGGCATCTACTATAAATATATAAAAAGCTATTTTTGATGAAGAACATTTACAATAAACTTTTGGCTATATGGGCTATAATTTTCAATACACTTAATTTCTTAGAATAGCTCTGATATGCACTTTGGATGGTCTGTATGATCTCTGTCCAGCTCATGAAGCAGCCACATAACCAAATTACCTAATTTAAGTGTTGTCTGCTGACTACTAGAAATCTCACTGACACAGTGACTGGTATCAGGAGAAGCCACAGAAAACGGACCCTCCAGACAGCATTCTTGGATTAGGCGCCTCATGTGTTTAACAAGTGCTCAGATAACTTCCTTGCCCAGGAGAAATGAGACACTGGTAATTTGTGGTATGCAATGACATTATGACTTTTCAAATTACCATCAAAGCTAGCATCAGATAAGGTTCAGGAGGAAGTCAAGTTGTCGGGAAAATCAAGGCACAATTGTTATGGTGACAATAGCAATAATGAAGTTTTTGTGGTCAACTGGTTTCTTATGACATATGAGGTCTGACAATTAGGTTCACGGACCATCCTAGAAAAAGTGCTACATATTTCATTGCTGGTGCTGCATACCTCATTGCTGAATATCACTATGGTCACCTTTGAAGTACTCCACTTGGGAAGCTATACACGGACATCAGCGCCTAGTCCACCCATCAAAGTGATTGTAGCTCTTTTTCTGGAATGGCCATCAGAGCTGTTGTCTTTATTTTGATGACGTCTGACAATTAAGTTTGCGAACTTGACACCGTGTGCGTACATTGGCAGCACTGTACAAATAACTGTATTGGAACACTCTCCCTACTCACTTGATCTGGCCCCCAATGACTTTTGTCTTTACCTGAAGATAAAGTAAATATTGAAGTGAAGATATTTTGGTGACATTCTGGACATCAAGGGTAATACGACAACAGCTCTGATGGTCATTCCAGAAAAGAGTTCCAAAATTGCTTTGATGGGGAGACTATATGCTAGCATCGATGCATAGCTTCCCAAGGGGAGTTCTTTGAAAGTGACCATAGTGATATTCAACAAGAGGGTATTTAGCACTTTTTCTAGGATGAGTTCACAAACTTAATTGTTGGACCGTGTAAGGAGAAATAGAAAGGAAAACTGTCGGCAAATAACTGAAAACGCAAATAAACAACTGGAAAGCCTCTGCAGCAACATCGAAGTAATTCCTCACCTCCTGTAGTTGCAGATTAACTTGGCTGAGGACCAAGCCCAAAGTCACCAGATTTGGTGAGAAAGTATTAGAATCTGAAAATTGGGATGGAAACAATTAGAGTAACATGGAAAAATGTCTTGTACTTCCTTTGCCAGCAGAGGAAGCCCTTGCCAAACAATAAAAGAGTCCCTGCATTAAACAAACAAACCAACACATTTTAATGACAATACCTAGAACATTTGTCTGACTATTACTTATTGCCTCTAGGTCCATATTAAATTAAATTAAATAGTAAATTAAATTAAATAGTACATTAAATCCCAACATGGTCTTGAAGATAAGTAAAAATGTACAGTTCTGGAAGGGGATAATTTATACTTTGAAAGATATTGATCAAATAATATGAAACAGAAGTCTGAACTGGAACAAATTTATTGAAATAGGTGACTCACCTGGGGTTTGGTACTTAAGTGTTAAGTAAGAGCAGAATCCACGTTAATATTCTACTAGAATGGCTAATTGAATAGGCTACTGTCCAAATACACAAGAAAGAAAACTTCAGAGTGATATCCCTGATAAATACAGATACAAAAGTCTTCAACAAAATTCTAGCAAACTGCATCCAACAGTACATCAAAAAGATCATTTATCATGATCAGTTGGGTTTTATTTCCAGGGTACAAGGCTGGTTCAACAAATGCAAATCAATAAGTGCAATCCACCACAAAACAGAACAGAACAAGAACCACATATTATCTCAATAGATGCAAAAAGCTTTGTTAAAATACAACACCCCTTCATGATAAAAAGTGTCAAACATCTAGGTATAAAAAGAATATTCTTTAAAATAATAAGAGCCATCTATGAAAAACCACAGCCAATGCTGGAAGCATTCCCCTTAAGAATCAGAACGAGACAAGGATGTCCACACTTACCCTCCTACTTAGCGTAGTACTGGAAATTCTAGCCAGAGCAATCAGGCAAGAGAAAAAAATAAAGACACATAAGTAGGAAAAGAGGAAGTCAAACTATGTCTCTTCACAGATTATATGATTTTATATCTAGAAAATTCCAAAGCTTCCACCAAAAAAACTCTCCTAACACTGAAAAACAACTTCAGTAAAGTGTTGGGATACACAATGGATGCCAAAAAATTATTTCTATACACCAGCAACATTCAAGCTGAAAACCAAATCAAGAACACAATTCCATTTACAATAGCTACCAAAATAATAAAATACACCAAAATACATGTAACCAAAAAAGTAAAAGATCTCTACAAGGAGAACTACAAAACATTGCTGAAAGAAATAAAGATGACACAAACAAATGAAAAAAACATTCTATGTTCATGGACTGGAAGAATTAGTATAATTAAAATGTCCATACTGCCAAAAGCAATCTAAAGATTCAACACAATTCCTGTCAAACTACCATAATCATTTCCCTCATATCTAGAAAAAAATTCTTAAGTTCATAAGTAAGCATAAAAGAGCTCAAATAGGCAAAACAATCCTAAACAAACAGAACAAAGCCAGAGGAATCACATTGCCAGACATCAAACTTTAGTACAAGGGTAAAGTAACCACAACATGGTACTGACATAAAAACAGAAAAATAGAACAGAATAGCAAATTCAGAAATAAAACCACTGACCTACAACCAACTCATTTTTGACAGAGTCAACAGAAACAAACATGGGAGAAAGGGCATCCTATTTAACAAATGGTGCTGTATAACCATATGCAGAAGAATGAAGCTGGACCCCTATCTCTCACCATATACAAAAAAATAACTCAAGATGGATCAATGTCTTAAACGTGAGACCTCAAACTATAAAAATCCTGAGAAAAAGCTAAGGAAACACTATCCTGGACATGGGCCTAAGCAATGAATTTTTGTTCAAGTCATCAAAAGCAGATGCAGCAAAAATCAAAACTGGCAAGTGGGATCTAATTAAAATAAAGAACTTCTGCACAGAAAAATAAACAGAGTAAAATCAATAGAGTAAATAGTCAACCCACAGAAATGGAGAAATATAAGCAAACTATGTATCCGATATACCTAATAACCAAAACATAACCCCATTAAAAAGTGGGCAAAGGACTTGAACAGACACTTCTCAAAGGAAGACTTACAAGCAGCCAAAAAACATGAAAAAATGCTCCACATCACTAATCATCAGAGAAATGAAAATCAAAACCACAATGAGATGCCATCTCTCACCAGTCAGAATGGCTATTATTAATAAGTCAAAAAAAATAGAGATTGCAAAACAAAGGCAACACTAATACATTGCTGACGGGAATGTAAGCTAGTTCAGACCACAAGAAAAGCAGTTTGGAGATTTCACAAAGGACTAAAAATAGATTTACCATTCAACCCAGTAACCCCACTACTGAGTATATACCCAAAGGAGAATAAATTCTTCTACCAAAAGACACCTGCATTCATATACTTTATCACAGCACTATTCATAATAGCAAAACATGAAATGCTCTCCAAACAATAAGAGAGCCAATCTAGGTGTCCATCAGTGGTAGACTGGATAAGGAAAAAGTAGTACATACACCATAAAACATTGTGTATTTATTCTTACATGTTTAAACTTCAGTTACCTTTAAAGTACTCTCTCCACCTATCGAGATGATTTCTCTACTGCTCAAAACAGTTTTTGCACTTGTCCATTTTTATGTCTTTTAATGTTTCTGCCATTTTTTGTTTCACTTCTCAAATATTGGCAAAACGTTTCTCCTATGAGAACTTTATTCATCCGGGGAAAGTCGCTCAGGGTATGATTGGGTGAATGGGAGAGCAGAGAATGGGAGTCCACCCTTTTTTTTTTTTTTTTTTTAGCTGGAGTTTTACTCTGTTGCCCAGGTTGGAGGGTTAGAGTGCCGTGGCACATTCACAGCCACTCCAGCGTCAACCTGCTAGTCTCAGGCGATTCTTTGGCCTCAGCTTTCCAAGTAGCTGAAACTACAGGCGGGTGCTACAGCACCTGGCTAACCTGCCCATTTTTCATCAAAAACCGCTGGACACTCAGCACAGTGTAGGCAAGTGCACTCATAAATTGCCGATTATGAATAAGCAAACACATTGAAAGAATCTCAAAAAAAATCACTAAAGCTGAATGCAATCTCTCACAACAACGCTAGCTGGTACACTGATGCCAATGGGTTCCTACCTAGCCTGGAAAGCCTGTACTACAAGGGGTCTGCTCTCCAAAAAATAATTCTGGGTTTTTTGGGGAGTCCCCCTCTATATACTATGAAATACTATGGAGTCATAAAAAGAATGAAATCATGTCCTTTGCAGAAACATGAATGGAACTGGAAGCCATGATTCTAAATGAATTATCACAGAAACTGAAAACTGAATACTGCTTGTTCTCTTGTAAGTGGGAGATAAACACTGGGTACACATAGGCATAAGAATGGGAATAAAAGACCTGGGGACTGCTCAAGTGGGGAGACAAGGATGGAAGTAAGTCTTGAAAAACCACCCATTGGGTAGCATGCTCACCACTTGGGAAAGGGGCTCAAAAGAAGACCAAACCATGCCATCATGCAATATACCT